ACGCGATTTTCATTCAGCAGCTCACTGGCCCTCACCCACACGACCGGAGCCAGATCCCAAGGTGCCTTTTTGGTCCCAAAACCAAGGCTCTCACCAAAAGACTTGCAGGATATCTAGCCTTGTTGGGTCTGGCTGCGCCGGTGGCTTGCATACGCCAAAGTGCCCGGTAAGCCCGTCGCATTTGTTTGTATACCGTATACAGCTAGGCAAAGACGTACGGCCTCAAGCTGTCGGTGATTGGAAGATGACCTATGTACATCAGATTGCCTGATTGCCTTGCGCCGGAACCGACCGTTGTCCCACGAGGTTATCATCCACAGATGGATGATATGATATCAGTCCCTGGCCTTGGCCTAAAACCCATGGCGATTTTCCAAGCATGCCCAAGACAAGGCAAAGGACAAAGGCAGGGTCAGGCAGATGGCACAACAGTGGGCGGTTCTGGGCACTGCATATCACAAACGATTGGGACAACGTGGGAGTCTCGTCAAGCCCGGCTACTGCTGAAAATGTCCACGCCAGCCTCTGCCTTCTGTGATGACTGCCGATCGACTGGACCGACGCCCAAAGGGACGCCCTGGGATGATGAGAGAAGTGTTTCATTTTCATCACGCCTCAAGCCGGTGATGCTGTGTTACCAACGGAGGGAGGCTGCTGCCACGCTCTGCCATGCCATGCCATGCTATGCCATTTCTGCATCGCATGTGCTGCAAAGACAGCAGAAAACAGCTGTGCAGGAAGCCCTCAACAACACATCTCTAGGCATTCTACTCCCTTGAGCCGCCAACAGAACACACTCCTCCCGCCAGGCTTCACCGATCCCTTGGAGGTGAAAACGTCAACAATGGTTTCGAATCAATCAACCCCGGGTCATGATTTTCCCGTCACGCGACCTGCTACCAGGTGAATGGTGGCCGAATTATGATTACACCAAGCAAATGCGTGGCTTGCTAGCTGTAACGACGGCGTAATGGATACGTACAAGTGTTTCGGTGTGGATATCGCTGACGACCTTGGCACAGTGTTCACCGTCCATTGCTCACGGAAAAGTACATGGTCAACCGACGCCAAGTTCGCTGTCCGTCTCTTTCTCCGCACTATTAAACATTTTGGTGGTTTCTGCACTCCGCAATCCGCTTGTCCGGGGCCGTCCCAAGTGGAGAGAGGTACCGTGGTGGGGTACGTATCCCGCTCAGGCGGCTCAGGTACTCCTGTCAGCAGCCTGTTAGTGCATCCATGGAAGCTGGAATGCTCATTCACGACGTGACACGATACAGAGATCTCGACACTTTTGCCTCCAAGCACATCGACGTGTCAGGGTCAACTGGCCGACTCGTGACCTGGAAGAATGACGATAATCTCATTCCCACCGTGCTGGACGCAGTCAAATTCCCGCCCGTGCTACGACTCGGTAATCATCAGCCGGAGTGTGTTAGCATTCGCTACCTACGCCAGACCTGAATGGAACTATCAGTGCACTAACCCCCACTGCCTCGCCAGGGAGTCGCCCGCGGCGGCACCCGTCCACTCCCCAATTTCCATACCACCTACCAAAAATCGGGCTGGTAGACCCAGGCTGCTGGAATCTTGGGAGTTTCAGGGCCAGGAGCAGAGATGCCGTCCATGGTCCAGTCGTGGGAGGAAGGAAGGAGCGAGGGCAATGTGGGCTGATACTGTATCGACAAATGGAATCGATCCGAATGTCAGCCTGCCACTCGCTCGCTCAGCATCAACCCGGGCGGCTCTTTCCCTCGGTGTGAAGAAAGAAGGAACCAAGCAGGAAGGCACCTGCCGCAGGCAATCCTCCAAATCACAGTTGGAAGAAAATTTTCAATTTCTTTTCTTTTGCTGCCGGGCAAGCAGACCGAACAACTTCCACTTGGAGCGAGACAACTCGACTCCCTGCACAGTCTGTGACTGGACTCTGTCCGGCTGGTCTTGCCTTGCCCGTCTCTACTACACTCGACACAGTACTACTCTTCGTTCCTCCAAGGCACGATGGCCACCACTGCATCCTTCATTCGACATGTTTTTGCGCCAATCACGACCAAATACTGAAGCTGTGCTCAACACCTCCAATTCTGCCCTAGGGATGGGATGTCAAGCTTGATCCAGTCCAGTAGAGGCATGGATCATAATGTCTACCCGTCATGACAGCACCACCCACAAGTCTTCAATCTCCGGAGCAGGACCATGGTAGTTTGTCAACCAAGTTAAGCCGGGCACTTCAGCCGGGCCTTGTTCGAATGTCCGTCTTCTTTCTCTGCACATTGCTGATATCATACAACTTCCACAGTAGTCAGCCTCTCAAATGCAGTCTCTGTTTCGCAACACGGATGAGCCCTGTGCCGCGCAGAGAGGCAGACAGACAGAGCATTGGCAAGCCAGTTCAAGGTCGCTCGCGAATGCTGCCGCTGTCTCCCTTGTTGGCTTGTTTAACGCAGGCCGCAAAGCATGCATTCTGAATGGCCAGAAAAAGACATTCCAAAAGTGTCACCTGCCCCTCCAGTGCCCTCCACGCCAACCATTGACAACGCAAGCACACCCACCAAGACGCCCTTGACCACCCCCGAACCGGACTCTCGCTGTTCCTCTAGGTACGCGCAACAAGTCTCAAGAGAAAGAGACGTTCTGGCGGTATTTTCAGTTGAGGCCACACTAGAGAGAGCAGCCATCACAAGTAAACATTCATTCAAGATAGGAACAGGTTAAGCCTCACGACGTCCGGCTTGCCAATGTGGGTGTAACCTTCCTGCTGAAATCTCATTGGCCAGCCAAGAAACATACACACCCCTTCCGATATCGAAGCCTTATCGAAGCCCTCGGGAGCAAAGCACGCAGTATCCAGAAGGCTGGAAATGACGTGACCACCATGGCAAAATCCTGCGGACACCAAGTCTAGGGAGACACGATACAAGACGTCGGATAGCCCGCCGAATGTGTGAAACAATCAAACCGACCATATACCTGAACCTTCAGGGCATCACCTGATATCGGTAGAGGTACTACCTGTAAGGTTCGTACCTCTTCTTGTCCCATTGATGCTACGCAAACACTCTGCCATTCGACACCTCGTGGCGCTAGTCCTTCCTAATGACCGTCACGTTCGATTTTGACAAACCGCATCCTGATGAAGCAGGCCGTGGTTTGTGTCGCCAAACACTTGTCTATACCCGATCAGGCCTTCCGGATCACTGACCGCCAGTTGCGGAACGGGGCATAGGAAAAAGAAGAACGGCATGGCCCGCTGAGCGCTAAATGTCAAGTGCCTTGGACATTGCCGTGGAGTATCGCAAAGAAGAGCCTCGATTGAGCTTCTCTTGGCCCACTCTTCACCTTTACCCACCTTGGCCCCAGGATCCTCGCTGAACAATTTCTTTGGCAAAGTTGTCGCCTTGCCATTGTCGAGTCCTCTGTGCCCTATGTCAGGGCGGTAAGTCTTGCTGTATCTGCATGCTCTCTCAACGGGCGGACAGTTGCCCCAGATTCGGCCAAAGATGCATCTACCGTATGGTTTTTGGCCCACGCAAGCTGCTAATAAGGCCACAAAAAAGGTCGAGTGCCGCTCTTTGCGCGCTCACGCATATAGTAGGTACCCGTATGCACGGCAACAAACGTCCTGACAACAACCCCTGCCATGATCCCATATCTGTTCAAGATTAAGCAACTTTCCTGACCTCACTGAACAGCACCATGTTTAAGTGAACAGAAAGCAATGTGAAACTGGCGGTCGAGGTGTGCTCGTTGTGACGTGCACCTGCTTGAACACCTATAGCCTCATGATTGGCATTAGGCGTGTACCAGCCGAGGGCCTTGGCTCCAACAAAAAGACCATTACACAGAGCCACAAGGCTGAATCCATTCGGCCGTGAATTCATGTTGGATTTCTCAAACCTCGACTGTTCATTACCTTTGCTATTCCAAAAAAAAAAGAAAAAAAAGTCAAGTGCCAGATTGTCTCCAGCGTGGGCACCAAGTCGTCAGCTGAAATGTCTTGAACGATGGCATAGGCACAAGCACCACAAAAAGAGTATATCTGCCCTGCCCGAGCCAGGCCTTTTTACACAAGACGTCACCAGCATCTTTCGACTCCTTTGGAGGTCTGACGAAGCTACTGTCCAAGAATATCACGCCTATCCACGACATCGACGGGTAAGCAGAGATACACTCCAACTACCCCTCCTGGTCTAGCGTGAGATTTCTTGGCTAGCCGCCTTACCCATCATGGGGCAACAATGGGGTAACTCGGGGTAACATAGCGGCCCTTGTTGACGGAGCCGGCCTGTCAGGCTAACCCCCACACTATTACCGTCCACCACAGACGGGATCCTGGAAATAACCCCCTGTCGTGTATGGGTCGTGCCTCTTCCCAAGACCCGCAAGACGAGGACGAAAAAGAACGTCGCTCAAAAGTTTGGAGATCAAAGAAAAGAACAAAAGCGGTCGCACTGTATACTTTGGGTTTTCTTCTCCCCTTTTGCACGAATCAGAAGGCCTCCTTCCTCACCACTCCACAACCTCTTGCCCTCAGCTTGCCCATGTCTCCATGTCCGTCGTTCGGCCTGGGCGGCGATGGGCCTTGGCTCCAGTCTTGAGTACAGGCGTCCACCTGGAGTAACGCCACCAATCCGCCGGGCTACTGCGTAAATCATCCCAAGCGGACAAGATCAAGAACTAACACGACAATGGCACAATGGGTCCTTTCCCCATCACCGCCTCGGGTACTGACCCACGGCTATCACTAACCGTCACCATGCCCCCCTGCTTCTTTTCTCGAAGACAGTAGTCAGCCGATACACTTTCCTTCTCTCTTGCTTGGAACTTTCCTCTCCCAGTCCCATTTCCTTCCTCCCATTCCTCTTTGTACAAATATCGACCACTTCCTTCCACGGATTCAGAACGAGCTGACCGTCATTGCCCTCCCATCTTCCTGTCTTTGTCCACATTCCCCTACTTCTTACATCATATAAAGCCACACCAGTATTTTACACTCAGTCAACATGGCTCCCCACAACGACTCATCACCGGCTGGAAGCTTCACCAACGGCTTCAACAGAATGGCCTTCCAACCTTCGGGATCATCCACTCTCACGGTAGAGGACTTGACAGCCGAGCTGGGCAGCTCATACGACAGCAGCTCCATGGACGCCCCCATCTCCCACGTCAAGCGCCCCCTTGTTCCCGGCGTCTATGTCCCAACCATGTGCTTCTTCGAGAAAGAAACAGAAGATGTCGATACCGTCACCATTGGTCACCATGCGGTTCGCCTAGCTCGTGCCGGCGTTACAGGCTTGGCTACTCAGGGTTCAAACGGAGAAGCCGTTCACCTAACCCACTCTGAACGACAAGTCGTTACCGCAACCACCAGAAAAGCGCTCAACGACGCCGGATTCTCCCATATGCCTATCATTGTTGGATGTGGCGCTCAAAGCACCAGAGAGGCAATCATACTGTGCCGTCAAGCATGGCAAGCTGGAGGAGACTACGCGCTTGTTCTCCCACCATCATACTACGCAGCTCTCTTCGCTCCTTCATCTCGGACCATCCTCGAGTTCTTCAACGCAGTTGCCGATGCATCGCCTATCCCGATCATCATTTACAACTACCCAGGTGCCGTCAATGGCATGGACATGTCGTCAGATATCATTGTCCAGCTTGCCCAGCACCCGAATATCGTTGGTGTGAAGCTCACCTGCGGCAACACGGGCAAGCTGAACCGTGTGGCAGCGGTTACTCGCAAGCTCTCAAAGAGATACGATCCCAAGAACCCCGACTTCTTGGTTCTAGCGGGGTCTGCCGACTTTTCTATTCAGGCCTTGGCAGCAGGTGGACACGGAATTCTCGCTGGCCTCGCTAACATTGCCCCTAAAGCATGCCTCAAGACCATCGAGCTCTGGAACCAGGGAAAGCACACCGAGGCTCAGGAGATGCAGGAAACTGTCTCGCAAGGCGATTGGACTGCCATCCAAGGCGGCGTTGTTGGAGTCAAGGCTGGATTGGAAGAGTGGGCAGGTTATGGTGGCTACTGCAGAAGCCCTCTTCCAAGACCTACTTCAGAGCAGTCCAAGAAATGGAAAGATGGATTCAAGGACTTGATCATGCTTGAGAAGTCTCTCTAAGGCTCACCAGTTGACAAGATCGAACATTTCCGGCCGATTTTGACGAAAGTCATGGCAAATTCCTCATATTCGGTCATCCATGAGCCCGCGCGGCAACGACATGGCTGAACCACTCAGCAATCGACTCGTTTCCCCTTTCTAGCAAGCAAGCGAGGCTGGTCAGCAAATACGAGCCCTGCCTCCATTTCTTCATGCTTTTTCATGTTCTAGGCGTTCTTAGGGGGGGACAGGTTACTGCGGTAGCAGAAAGATGGGAAACTCAAAATAGAGAATTCCTCGGCGTTGGGATAAGGGCACAGCATGGGTCAATTGGGTTAACGGCAACTTTTGCGGAATGGCTGTTAGAAACCGCACTGCTTCATGAGGAATACCTCCTTCAGTCACTCTTCCCTTACATGTATTACGGCGACATTTCACATGCTGTTGGATATTCCGAGGTATCTATTTCATCTTCTTCTCCGTTTCCATGTTTTATTCAAAAGAATTACTTTGTTATCAATGCGACGTTGTATGAGAGTCCGCGATCGTTCACATCAATAAGCCCACGTCCACTGATGCAATGGCTGAGCAAACAAAACTCCATCACTGCACCGCAAAACGCCATGGATCTAAAAACAGACAACGTCATAAGCCTTCGATCGCACGAACTGGGATTTCCGGTTCTTTTCTTCTGGCTACGAGTGTCTTGTGGCATTGGCCATTTATCTAGCCGAGACGGGTCCAGGCTGTGAATTGGCCTCCTTGTGCTACGAGGGACAAGGAGTTGCAATGCCAAGTGGGCAAAGGCTAGCTCGTGGTTAAACAAGCAAGCAAACATGAGCTCATTTTTGCAAGCCCAAATTCACTGCCACGTGAATAGCACAGAGACATGGACACCCAACTGGGTCATGGTACCGATCTGGACCTTGTCGCACTGGCATAACCCAGTCAGCTATCCCAAGTCCTGGATCTGGGTAAGTGAAAGTGAAGTACGCACTGGCACATCTTGAAAACATAAGATGAAAGGTCGCTAATAACATACAACCGAAAGGGTGCCATCAGTTCGGTGTGCATTGACCATCGATGAACAAACTCCTGCTCGCGTCTAGCACAACGAACCACCAAGACTTCATCACCACTTGAACACAACCTCGGCAGGGACTTCCGCTCGACTTAGCACAGAGGCTGACCTTTGGGCACCAAGTTTCCGAACACGTGAAGCCCATTTCTCTTCCATGCATGAGCACGACTCAGAGTCATATGAATCAGTAGCCGTAAGTTGATCACGGGAACAAGCCATGAAGACTAGAACATAAATATCGGTATCAAGGGCAGCCACCTACCTGTACCGTCAAAATCGATGGCTAACCTACGACACAGGGCACTCAATATTCCAATTTGTCCTTGTATCACCACGGGGGCAAATTATTTCTCCGAGCAAGCCACGGGTCGGACATATCACAAGAGTTCGAACAACGGCGGTTCTGCGATATCGGCTCCGCAACGTGGACTGTCATCGGGTACAGTCCTTCCCGATTTCGTTATCTTGTGTGATGTGGAATTAGGGGCGAGAGAACTGGAGGGGGAGGGGCATAAAGGTATGTGAAAGGCCGAAAAACGAGTAAACAATCCACCCATCTGCTGTTACACCACCTCTAAACAACATTGAAACAACTCCTTTGCTGTAAGTCTTTGTATAACCAATCAGGGGCTTGTCGCTCCATCAGCCAAGAAGAAGACTCCAAATATTCACACCTACATAAACTAATGTCTCACGGGCATGTCGGTATCATCCGACGGCCGGGAAGTGCGGTATTCCTTCTGGCGTCGGGCGGGAAAGAGAAGGAAAAAACGTGAAAAGAGCATGACAAGGGAAGCTACGCTAGCGCAAGGCAACAAGAATGGGGGTAGGTGAGGTTTGTTGAAAATGTGAGAGTCTCCTTGAGAGCCGCATTAGGCCTTAACGCCTTATTTCATTACCATCCCCCAACTTTTGCCCCCATCCTCCTTGCTTAGCCTTGCCCGCTTACGGGCGGGACCTTGCACAAAGGAAAGCTGGGAAAGGACGTGGGCAAGACCACCACGGGATGACGCCCCCCACGCCCAGGTATGCAAGAACCACACCAAAAAAATCATAAGGGGGGACGGGAAAGCAAGCAAGGTGTTTGCGAAGTGGTGGGTATAGGAGGAAAGGGTGGGTAAGAAAAGGGCTAAGCTTGAACCCGTCGCTGTGGGCATCACCACCACAAACACACACATCACCCGCCAGTACAACCCGCGCGGGAGCCGCACGGTGAATGTACCAGACTAGAAGGATACCGGATTCCTACCCTCCTTCACGGCGAAGGGCGGAGAAGCACGACGCAAGATGGAACGAGGCAGATGTTCCCCTTGCAGCCCGAGCCTTGTTGCCCAACGGCTAGCTGCTGCCAGTAGCATGATGACGAAAGATTTATCTACCAATCATCCTTCCGTCTATCCGTCCACCCGCAATCCCATTTCAGAGGTTGGTACATGCACTTGCACAAACACAGATTCATCATCTTTCCATCTGGAAGCTCTTCTTAGAACCCCTCACCACTATCAGCAGACCACCGGCGGCACTCTCGCTTTTGATCTTTATGCTAACGCGTGGTGGCGCCAAAGCTGTATGAATGAGACACACATACGGGAAGAAGCATAACACCCCTTACCTCCTTGTCGCTGGTCGGTGTGGAATCCTCGTGGTGGTAGCCGTCGAATGCGCTGTCCACACAAGATCGCCCACACAACCGAGACCACAGATTTTGTTGTCTCTTCATTACTCCTCTTCGCCTTCTCTCCTCTCGTCTAGTTGTTCGGCTGCAAGTGCCCGATGAGACATTTACTAGCCGAGTCTGCCGAGTTGTCCATTTTTGCGTAACACAGCATACGAAGAGTAACTAAACATACCGCCTATTCACGTCTCCTTCCCCTTCTCAACAGCCCCATGGTCTTCAATCTGGCCACTTCATCTTTTCCCTCTCCCTCCCTCTTCTGTCTCTACATATTGAGAGGAACTTATACGAGTTGCAGCTGTGAAGTTACGGAATATGTATGCGCCTGCAAGCCTCTTCACCGCTAACCATGCGTCAGAGCTGGATTGTTTGGTGTGGTTGTGTGTGTTTATGTCGGACATTATCTCTCTCATCTCATTGGGTGGCGTAGCCTCTCCTTGTGCTCATACTCCCGTTTTTCGTCTTTTGTGCTGTCCTTATTCTAGAAGAGGGGAGACGATCACAAAAGGTTTTGGTCATATCGTTACAGCGCTTGCACGCGCGCGCCCGGAAAAGGGGCTGGGCTGGGCTGGACTGGTTCCCGGTTCCAGTCGTTCGTTTTTTTTTATCTCTTTTTCTTTCGTCGTCAGCAGTTCAATGGGCGGAACGAAGTACCTGAGCAAGCAATCATGTTATTCACCGGTACATTACCTATGGGAGCAATTGCGCTTCTGGAACCCTCCTCGTTTATCTTTCCGTGGTTCTTCAGATCCTTTCCATCTCGTCTTGTTTGTACCTGCTGGACTTGCTGCGGTGGCTACCTACTATTATTATCAGACCCATGACTCCTTTAAAGGGCTCATGGTAGGCCAATTCGTCATCCATTAAATATACAGAAGGGTCCCCGTTGATGATCTTTTTCAAAACTAGCTTCGCTGTTCTACTTAGCTCCTTTTTGCGACACCACTTTCCTCGAGTGAGTGTACCCGAGGGGCGAGAAAAACAAGAACTTTTAGGTTTTTTTGTTTCTTTTCTTTTCTTCGGCGGCAGATACCTGAATTACGAACAGTTCTCAGGAACGAACCAAGCAATAATAGGTACCCTTCGGCCGATACCAGGCACTCACACACCCACCCACCCACCTGTCTGTCACTTTTCAACCGATACCAACAAGAAAGCAAGCAAATTAGAACACATTGCCCAACCATCCCTTCCACCCACCCACACCCACCCACATCCCGGTATCACGCCGGGATCCCTTTCCCAAATGGAGGTTAAAGCAAAAAGGAGGACAAGGAGGGCGGTAGTGGGGACGAGGAGTAGCAGCATCAGCCTCATTGACCTCACACCATCACCATCGCCATCATCAGGACTCACACACATGATCACATTTACTACTCTTCTCCCACTCCTCCTATTAATCAACAGCTTTATCTTGCTAGCCGCGGCTCAAACACAGACCACACCGATTCCGGTCATCGGCGTCACGACGGGTGTTGATGCCAATACGGGACAGAGGCCAATTAGGAGGAATGTCAATGATCTCTACGCAAGAGGAGGACCGCAATGGTAGGTAGGGTGAAGTGGCTGCTTCGTGGGGGTCATGTCATAAAACTCATCCCCAGTATTAGTATATGGCTTACTGACTTCTCATGTCTACCTTAGGGACCTCTACATCCTGGCCCTGTCGGAGATGCAAGCGACGGACGAGTCGGATGAGCTCTCGTATTTCAGCCTGGCAGGTAAGTGGAGAATTTCTAGCAGACCCTCCCTGGAGGAGCAGAAGACAGCTCTTTTGTGACGGTGGTGGTGGTGGTGGGGGGTTATCATGAATGTGAAGCTGACTTGCGTGTTTGTTGAAAAAGGTATTCATGGATTACCGCACAAACCGTGGAATGGAGTCGAGCAAGTGGATGGTGCGCCTGATGTTGGGTACTGTCCCCATGGTGTAAGTGTTGTCTTATATGAGATGCGTCTCTTCATGACGGAGATATCACAGATACTGACTGTTACCAAAATGCGTAGGAAACTATCTTTGCTCCATGGCATCGACCTTATGTTGCTTTGTTCGAGGTATGGGACCCCGATGGCAATCTACACTAGCCCCTTGTCTCTAGTCACCATGCCCACATAACATATCGCAATCACAATCCATCACCTCTCCACACCCTCTTCTCCCATCACCTCACGCACCATTTACCCACCCTGGCCTCACTACCCACCCCCCTTTCAAACCCCAACTAACCACCACCCTCCCCCAAACAGCAAACCCTAGTCACCCACGCCCTCTCCATCGCCTCCCGCTACCCCCCCTCCTTCCAAGCCGCCTACACCGACGCCGCCCGCACCCTCCGGCTTCCCTTCTGGGACTGGGCCTCGGACCCATCCTTGCCCATCGCCGTGATGAACGACACCATCAAAGTCAGCAACACGCCCAATTCCTCTCTATCTTCCCTATCCCCGCCCAACACCAACGGCACCGGCGGCGGCAGCGGCGCCCCGTCGGGCGCCGTGGGCGTGATGGTTAGGAATCCGCTTTATAGCTATCGGTTCCAGAACGGGAGTGTCATGTATGGGTTTTCCCCCGAACGCATGAAGTTGAATCCGCAGACGGAGAGGTGTGTTGCTTTAGAGAAGATGCCGGACACGGAGAATGGAACGGTTGTTGGGAGGAGGAGTGAGCCGTGGATGGCGGAGGAGAAGATGAGGGATGTGGGGAGTGGATTGAGGGATAGTGTGGTGAGTTTACCTTTCTTGCTTCTGTTTCTGATGGTATGTGAAATCTGGGTGGTTTGGGTGGGACTGGGGGTCGTGGTTCGTTACAAGCTGCGATGAACTGCCTGGAATAAAAGGTTCTGGGTTTTCCTGGAAGTGTCTGGGCGGAAACTAATGGTTTTACCGAGGAGTGGCTCAGGAACCACGATTTTGGGGAAGACAGCGCATAATATTGGCCCCTACCTTACTTTCGTGGACGGACAGCCCAACTGATGACCTCAGAGCTGAACGAACATTCTGCTGACTTTGTGGTTACTCCCACCTTCCAGTACGATCTCTTTGTCAGACCCGATGCCTCTGGAGGATGGGGAGCCGGAGGGTTCGAGAATCCTCACAACACAGTCCATAACAACGCTGGTTGTAGCTCCGGTACCTTGGCTAACGTCGCTTGGTCCGCTTTCGACCCTCTGTTGTGAGTACCTATCTATCTCCCACAATGGCGAAGTGTTCGTCCCTTCACTAACTAATAACCCTTCCATTCACTCCCATTCAGTATGCTCCACCACGCAAACACCGACCGCCTCGTCGCTCTCTGGCAAGCAATCTACTACCACAACACAACTTTCAGCTTCACCACCCTTCGGGCGGCCAGCTCGGCACCAAAAAAGGGACTAACCTCACTGCTGACTCCCCACTGAAACCCTTCCACGCCCAGTTTCCTGCTACCAACAGCAGTACACCACCATCGGACGCGGGGGGGTTCTTCCATACTAGTAACTCGGTGGCGGATCTCCGGACGTTTGGGTATTCTTACCCGGAGCTGAACACGGATTGGCAGATAACCGATAAGGAGAAGTTGGCGGCGCAGGTGAAGAAGGCGGTTAATAAGTTGTATGGGTCTGGCGATGATGAGAGTGCGAATGGTGTGGCTAGACGGGAAGTTGATGAGGATCTGAATCCGGAGGATGCGCTTGGCGAGGAGGATGACAGCACCGTCATTGATGGTGGGAAGGAGATTGATGAGAACAACAAGATCACCTTCCGCCGTTCGAGGTTGCGGTCCCTGTCTCTCTCTGCTTCCACCTCCACCACCAACTTTAACTCCCAGGAAGATAAAGAAGGCACCACAAGCACCGACGGCAAACAAACAGAAGAAAACAACAAAATCACCTTCCGCCGTTCTCGCTCCCTCGCCAAGTCCCTCTCATCCGCCAACTCCAAGAAACCAAAACGACAAACCTACGGCCAAAGCCCTACCAAAAATTACTACTATACCGCCGAGCTCTCCGTCGACCGCTCCGAAGTACCTCTCCCATGTACAATCTCCCTGATTGTCAATGAGGTGGTCATGGGCCGTATGTCCCTTCTGGGCATGCCGATGGAGGGAATCGCGAAGGTGAGTATGCCGTTGGCGAGGCCGCTTAATGATGCTGTTAGGAAGAATGGCGGACAGCAGACTCGAAGTTTGAGGGGGAGGATGAAGATGAGGGCTGCTGCTGTGAAGGAGTCAAAAAAGGAGGGGATTGGGGCACGTGGATATGACTCCTAATAGGATCATCCCGTTTTTGAGGGGGAATATGACTGTTGAGATTCGGGCGGTAAGTTTCCTTCTTTTTTACCCTTTTGCGTGGTTTCTTTTGATCTTTCTCCCTTCCACTTCCAGAGTCTGCTCCCAAATATCTTTCGTGATATCCTGCTTTTCCCTATACTTCTTGCCCGACTTGCCTCCTTCCTACAACCCGTTCCGCCCTTACAAGACACAGGTTCTCCAATCCCTGGGCAGCATCTCTCCTCTCCCCAAATTCTAAACACCGCACTTTCACATGCAACAAAGCTCATCTACGTCAGCAAACTCTCTTATGGATATACTAACACCACCTCCCAAAAAAGAACGACGAAACCCTAACCGACCCATCCACCGTCCCCTCTCTCCACCTCGACATCCAAGACTGGGAATACATCCCCCGCAAAAACGCCAGCGAGTTCCCCATCTTCCAGAACCCTCGGAAATGGCCGATTGGGATTCGTGGACCGGGAGGACATGGAGGGTATGGGGGAGGCGGACACTAAGTCAAGGTCTGGGTTTAACAGGTGGGGGGCACCGAGGAGAGTATCTTGAGCGCGTTAAGTTTTTTGTTCTTCGTAACGGAAGCTTTATGGAGGTAGAATGAGAGTGCAAATGAACGGAAAGGAAAAGAAGGGGAAAAGAGAAGGAGAAAAGAGAAGTAGGGAGATAAGTAGGGTACACGAGGGGGACAGGAGGGGCCAGGAGGGAACAGGAGGGAACAGGAGGGGACAGGAGGGGACAGGAGGGGACAGGAGGGGACAGGAGGTGGAGGCGGGATAAGGGCAAGTACCAAAGTGTACCTAGTGTAGGTGTTAGGGGAAAAGAGCATAACCTTAAAAAAGGCCACGGAGGGCATACCCATATACAGGTATTAGAAGAAAATGGTGACGCGGTCTTTACCTGCGATGGACTCAATCCATCGCCATTCTTCCCTTGTCTCGTCTTGCCTTGTGGGGTGGGAACATGGTATCTCTGGGGGAGCAAAGCGGTTGCTTCGGGTATCTTGGAGCTTGTGAGCCGGGAGAGCAAGTCGGTCGCTCGAGATGGTTCTTGCGTGAGCAAGTTGGTTGCTTGGAATCTTGGAGCTGGCATCAAAACAGTTGCTCGGGGTTTTTTCGCGAAGCTTCTGAGCAAACGGCTGCTCGAAAAGATCTTCTCGTGAAAGAAGCTTGTAGGGGGCGGCCAAGCTGAGGGTTCAAGGAGTGTCGTCCTGAAGAGGGTGCTGACAGTCACCTAGTTCCTCGTTTGGCCTACTACGGCTCAGCTTCCTCCGTCCACGATGGGCCTACTACAGCTCAGCGCGTTGCTTGGAGGTCGACAACGCTATTCAAAATGACGGTAGGGTGGAAGGCTTTGTGCAACATGTTATCGTTCGATTCGTAGTTGTCCACACGCTGCGAATACAGCTCGGTCTTGCCGGCTTAGTAGCGTCTTTACCAGAGGTCTAGACCGAAAAAAGGTAGGCTGTAGATGCAAGTTGGAAGTCACACCGCAATCGCGTTTGGACTTTTCAACAGCTTGACCGAAATAACACAATGTTAGCGTTGCTCATTCTTGGTTGCATTGATACGGCAAATAAA